GTCTTGTCTCAAATATTTGGTCTAGGAGTAAAATAGTAGTACAATTATGTAGTAAACATTATACCTGCTCAGTAATGATTATAAGTGTGTAATTCATATGACATTTGTATAATTAATAAAAGGTGGTAGAGACAGTTCTATAAATATAAATCTTTTCAAATGCCATCTTACCATTAGTATAGCATTTGAATAATATGGATTTCTATAGAATTTGTAGTGACATAAAGTAAGACAGAATGGATATTGGTACTATTTTTGAATAGCTTAATTATACTTCACTTTGTTTGAATTTAAAAAGAACATTCACGTATTCTGTACTGTTCTCTACAGTTTTCTTCTTAGCCCTCTTCATCCTATTTCACACCCCTCCTCTGCCCCGACCCGGTATCTTACATGTTTCTCTTACTGTGTTTCTTCCCCTGGTTCTATTTTATCTTCTTAATTGTTGGATAGTTTCTATCCAGAGATAATGTAATCTCTGTGGTTAAAAATCACTGAAGACTTAATATAGTTCAAAATTCCCTTTCTTTAGATTATGGGAATTTAAACTATGACAGTGTATTTCTGGGTGACGGGTAAGTGATTTTTACAAAAAAACAAAAAGTGTTTTTAATAGAAAGAGTGACATCACATCCCCCGAAAATCTTGCTTCCATTTGTATAATATCTTTTATTTTTGTTAGGTTGAAACTCCATTGGAAGAAGCTATTAAATTTTTAACACCGTTGAAGAACTTGGTGAAGAACAAGATAGAAACTCATCTTTTTGCCTTTGAGATTTACTTTAGGAAAGGTAGGCAATTAGGATATAGTGGCCCTGATAAAATTGATCACTGTATTTCTTAGATATAATCTCCCAAATCTGATAGCCTCACCACTGTAGGATTTTTTAGCAAATGCTAATTCAGCTTCCTCACAGAAATGCCTGCTATGCACACACAGTATGTTGTGGGGAGGTACAGTGACACGAATATCTCTTCTAGGACATTAAAATTAACATAGCTGTATGTACATTTACTAGGATTAAGGTCACATATAGTAATTACCATGTACGTGTGGATAAAACTAGTTAATACATGCAGAGGTTAGAATAATGTCTGCTACACAGTAAGCATTAAATAAATGTTAGCTATTATTAGCTGTTGTTAAAAATAGAAGCTATGATGCTCAAGGTATATCTTGAAGGATGGATCATATTTCTAAAAGAAAAGATGCGTAGAAGGGAAGAGGCTTTGTTAAAAAACACAAGTGTGTGTAAATAATGTTGAGGTTGGTTGCTAGGTTTAGAATGGTTACATTATATATAGTAAGAGATACTAAGAAGACTTTATGGCATTGAATTTATGTAAGCCAAATGGTTCATTAAAGAAAAAAGTTTACATTAAGTCGATGTGTATTGAAGGGAAGAGAAACTGGTTAATAAGATCAGACAGAAGGTTGTTGCTCCAGTTCAATTGTCCTATTAAAAGAGTGAATAAAATGGTACCTCTGTAGAGAATCCGCTAAAAAATCATGTTTATCAAAAGTAATTTATAAGTTTGGGGAATGGTTGCCATATAACATTGTTTGAAAATAGGACAAAAAACTATAGTTTGATTTTAATTTTAATAAGTTCCTATGGGTATGTAAAATAGAAAGCGGCTGGGAAGAAATAGATCAAAAGATAACAGCGATTGTCTCTTGGTGGAATTTGAATGATTAAAATATTTTCTATATTTTCTTTTTTATTTTATTTTTTTTCCTACTACATTTTCTATTTCCCACAATGATTATGTTGTAATTTGGAAAATAAGTTTAATAAATAATCCAGTAATTTAAAACTTTGAACAGTTACTACAGCTTCCTTTTTGACAAATACTCTTAAATCAATCCCAAAGTATGAAATAAAAGCTGTCGTGCTTAGTGTGGGGAAAGGAGATCTAAATTCCATTCAGTGGGCGCTTGGCCGTGGTCCTGCCTCTGAAGGGCTCTCTAGCATTGGGACTTCACTGCAGTAGAGTGAAATGGGCAGTGACAGAGGGCATGGCCCTGCTTTTAGCTTTCTGGGTTTTGGGGGTCAGGGAAATGGAAATGTTAGAGGAGCCTGAGGTTTTGAATTTTGATATTTGGAGAATGGTACCAAATTAGGGAAGTCTTAACAAAGAGGTGGTCATAGATGTGGCTTGGAAGTATGGTGAGTATTCTGTTGCAAATTTCCATTCATCAGGTGGAAACACTACTGACGCTTGGGAAACATGGGGATTGCAGGGGAGAATAGCATAGAGGTTAAAAAAATGACTGAAACCCTACCTTTTGGTGGTGGAAGGGACAGTGTTTGACAGGAGAGGAGTGGTCAGTCAGGTAGGAGGCAAACCGTTGCACTTGTCACAAAGCACAAGAAAGGAGATAGATAGCATTAAGTATAAACAGTGATGTTTTCTAAGTAGTGATTAAATTATCTTGATTATTTTTATTAAATTAAAGGTTAGGAAATGAAATGGCTTCAAATTTGTTTCTTTGCTTTTATGGTGTTAGTTCAAATTTTGTTGAATGCTATCTAAATTTTTATAAATAAAACCTCAAAGAACGTTGTGTGGAAAACATTAGCTAATGTTGCTAATCTAAAGAAATCATTTACTTCAGTCATATGTTGTAGTTCAGATGCGTTTGACTCTAAATTAGTTTTTCTATTTGAAAGGTCTTAGTCCTCCAAAGGAGGGCATCTTATTTTATCAAACGATCAAAATATATCTTACTTTTTCTTTTTATAGAAAAGTTTCTTTTGATGCTACAATCAGTAAAGAGGGCATTTGCTATTGATTCTAGTCATCCCTGGCTTCATGAGTGTATGATTCGACTCTTTAGTACTGGTATGTTTTTGTTTTCCATTACTTATTTATTACAGTAGTTGATAGTGATTGTATAAGTGATCTTTACAAGTTTATCATAAACTTAACCATTTTAAAGCTGTTACACATTAAATTAGCCGAGAGAAAAAACATGGTTCTTTTCTTTGTGTTGAAGGTCTTTATTTTAAGGCTAGAAATGTCATGTGTTTCTTGACATAGAATAGTTCAGTACAGATATTTGAGAATCACCTTTGTTTCTGAAGTAACATGTAAGTTGAAGCTTTGAATCACATTTTGTGTTAAGCTTCTTATTAAGTTGTTCTAAAATTAAAGAATCTCTTTGAAATTGATTGGTTATCTCCTTATTTATCTGTGTCTAGCATACTTTAAATCTTACAATTTTTGTTACTAAATATAGGTTAAAAAGAACTTTAAAACATTAATCATTGTACTTTTCAAATATTTTGTCAGAAAGATTCCATACATTAGTCTTAATGTGAAGTAGAACTGCAGAATTTTAGAGAACAAAAGGTGGAATTATGCTTATTTTCTCTCATTTTATAGTTGAGAAATTTGGGACACTTAAAGATTAAGTTACTTGTTCAAGGTAATGTAGATAATTAGTAATGAAGCAGGCACGAGAGTCCAGGTCTTCATATTCTTTAGACTACAAGAGTCCAGGTCTTTCATATTGTTTTTTCTACTAATTTAGATAACGTACTCCTGTAGTCAAATAGTGTTGTTGTTGTTTTGATTTTTAAGTAGTTGGAAAAGGAGAAATTGAATTTCTAATAAAACAACCAGCAGAATTTAGAAATACTATTAAATTAGCTACCTCATTGCTAAATACCCAGTCCTATATGAATCCATACATTATGTAAAATAATGAGATTAAACCAGACATCCCAATCATTGTTTTGAAAATTGCTAGATTGTCCCAATTAAGAACAATTGTTTTGTCTTCTAAGAAAAATTAAAGCTTTATTTAAATTATATTTATGCTTGTCAAAGAAATGATTCCTGTTATAAAAACTGAATCATGGAAATGTTTTTCCTCAATCTTTTTAAATTCAGAAAGTAATAAGTAATATAACCACATTATGGAAAATAGAAGAAAGAACTGCTATATTTAGAGAAAATAAAGAAATTTTTTTGCCTCATTTTTGTATTAAAAATACTTTGAAATCATGCATCAGAAAATGAAGGCTACAAGTAATAGTTTTAATTCAGTCTCTATTAGGATGGAGTGCACCTAAACCTTTTTCAGAAATAACATAAACACTTTGTTTTTATATGATCTATTCTTTCCTGAAAGGTAGTAAAGTAATACATACAAGTGTTATGGAGTTAAGAGACTTTGCTGTGAAATATGAATTAAAAGTGCCATTGCTAAATGTATTTGCTTGTAATGAGTGTATGGATTGATGAACATGACTATTTTCTTGCAACGGTTGTTTCAGAAAATTAAAATGCTCAGGGTTTCAGAGGAACAAAGGCAGAGCGGCCCTGATGTAAAAGAATTACTGAACATCCTTGTTAGCTAGCCCCATTGCTCCAGGTATCCGGCTGACATTGTCAGAAAGAGATTTACAAAGTGATTTTTATTTTGACTAAATTTAGGCCATGAAAGCAGTGATAATTTGTAGTGATGAAGAAGCACTGTATCTTCAAAAAGCTTTCAAGAAGTTGGATATACTGCTTAATAGCTTTGTTAAGAACAGGTGTGTACTTAACTACAGAGACACAAATTTGGGGCATCTTTGTTATACCCCACAGGATTCCTTTAAACCAAGTTGAAAGTACAGCCATTTGGGGGTTAAGCTAACTTCTTTTAACTAGTTGCTCATTTATTTGAACCACCCAATTCCATAGAATGATAGAAGAAACGCTGTTTATCATTTCATATCAGTTATTCAGTTACTAATTATGTGTAGAATATTTCATTTGTCTATTTCCTACTCAAGAATTAAGTGTTTTTTAAACTTAGGGTAATGAGGGCCGGCTGAGTGGCCCAGCTGGTTAAGAGCTCGCTCAAGAGTTTGAGCTCTGAGCAACAGCGGTTTGAGTCCCGCCCGAGCTGAGCTGCTAACAGGTGGTAAGATGGCTCAGCTAAAAATAAATAAATAAATAAAAAATAAACTTAGGGTGATGGTCTGTTGGTGAGACAATGAAAGCAATTTAGTGGGTCATTACCAGCATTTGAAAACATAAAATAAAAATAGAGTAGAAAATACCAGCATGCGATGCACAAAGTGAGGCTCAGGGTTCTGTGAAACTTTGTTTCACGTAGTAAGTTATGTATATAGGATATATATTTATCAGACTACAAATACTTGGCTGTAGATGAAGTTTGAAAGCCACCATTATAGTTCCTAACCATAAGGAAAACCTATTTATGTTTTCTATCTATGACAGAAATAGTAACTATAATTTATTGAATAGCTATAATTAGTTCTTTTAATCTTAGCTTTTTCTTACTGTGATCCTTGTAGGTTATCACTAAATTTTATAGATCAAGAAATAGGTTCAGAGAGGTTATGATTTGTCCAAGCCTAGATCCATACCCAGGTCTGTCTGGCTCAAAGCTCCAGACTGTCTCTGTATACCAAAAGAGAACAGGCATACCTCGTTTTATTGCGCTTTACATTTTTGCACTCTGCATACACTGTGTTTTTTACAAATTGAAGGTTTTTGGTAACCCTGCTATGAGCAAGTCTATCAGCACCATCTGTTTTTACAGCAGGCTCAGATGATGGTTAGCACTTTTTAGTAATAAAATATTTTTTAATGTATGTACATTGGGTTGTTTTAGACATGATGCTATTGCACACTTAATAGATTGTAGTATAGTATAAACATAACTTTTATATGCACTGGGAAACCAAAAACTTTGTGTACCTTGCTTTATTGTGATATTTGCTTTATTGTGGCCTGAAACTGAACCTGCAATATCTCTGAGGTATGCCAACAATGAAACAAAGCATAACTAGGATTCAGTCCAGAGAAGTGGGGGTTGGCTTTTCCATCTCCAAATCCCACAGCCTGAGAATATGATGACTGCCTTGCATTCATTACAGGAAAATACTTTGGTGGTCCTTTGGAGTCTATTAGATAGTGATAGCTCAGTTCCCATAACCCCTGAAAATAAATGTCAAGGAAGTCAACCATGTTTCCTTTTAATATTGATGAATTTGTAATGCCTTACTGGGGTATAGAAGAAGATGGAGGTGGTGAGGAAAATTCTGTTGTCTTCAGCACTACATATTTGCTGTGACATTATCTAGCAGGTAGGTGCTGTCAAGGCCCTGCTTTGCAGACTCTAAAGTTGATGGGGCCAGCACCTAGGGGTTTAGAAGGCTGTGGAACTACATCTTCTGTCATTGCTTTTGCTTTGTTCTTTTCTGGAAATGAATCATCTGTCAATGAAATGTCTTTGTGTGCCTTTAGAAAGTCATTAGATTACTCTGCTGACACACATACTTTAAATTTATATAGGTAAGCTCTTCAAATGTTGAATTATCAGTAGGTTTGTCTAGTCTTTGTATATAATTGCTTTGTTTCATTGGCCTCATCAAGTAGATAATTTTTTGACTCTGACAACTTTATAAGTTTCTGATTGTTAATAGAGTTTGTTTTTAATTTGTGCAGCAGTATGTGAAAGTAAAGATTTATCTGATACAGTTAGAACAGTATTAAAACAAGAAATGAATCGTCTTTTTGGAGCAACAAATCCAAAGAATTTTAATGAAACTTTTCTGAAAAGGAATTCTGATTCATTGCCACACAGATTATCAGGTAATCACTTTATTTTGTCCTTATCTTAGCCTCCTAACACAGCTTCATTTTTTATTTTAATGGGTCAATGACAAGGTTACACATTTTTCACATGTAAGAGGCAATATGTGTGTGTCACATATGCTTCCTATACATTTGTTAATTTCTTAGACAAAATTATTACTATGGATCAAGGTCAGTCCGTAGTTTCTCCTGGTTCAGCATAGGCATTACGAAGAAGCAGGTATAACTGAATTTCGCCATGTAGTGCATGCACTGAAGGCAGAGCTTTTTCTTTCTTTCTCCCATCAATGTGCTCTTAAAATTCACATGGATGTGACCATCATCTTCAATTTCTCACGTTTATGTAAGATCTCAAACTTGACAATGCTGAACACCTGAAACCATCTGACAGTCAGGGGTCGCCTGGCAAGAGTCTGCTAGTAAGCCAAAGCCTGGACTCAGTGGCATCATGTAGGTGAAGCCTTCGTGGGGTGCTTTGAAAATACTTGGCTAAGAAAGCCAGCAGCTTTGTGTGCCTTTGTGGGATTGTGAATTCAGCTTGTTGGCTCATGCCATCATGGTTGGGTATTCCCCGCAACCCCCAAATATGCTCATTTTAGAAAGAAAACTATCCATGGTCCCGCCACACAAAGACAGATATTACTAGATTATTTGCATTTCTTTACTTCTTCGTCTCTTGCCTTAATCATTCTCCTAGTTTGGACAGTTAGGCTGTTTCTGGTCTACTCTCCAGAACTTTTTTTTTTTTTTTTTAAATAACAGTGTTTCTCATAGCTCTTCTCACTTTTTTAATAAAGTGCCACACTCTGTGTGCACATATACCTTGCATTTTATATTTGACTAGATGGAGGGTAAGATGCTGGTTGTACCTTAAAATGAAACAGATTTCCTTCTTCCTTCTCATTTAGCTGCCAAAATGGTATATTATTTAGATCCTTCTAGTCAGAAGCGAGCTGTAGACTTGGCAACAACACTTGATGAATCCCTCACTAACAGAAACCTCCAGGTAAAGTTTTTTTCATGATCTCTTTGTAAGAGTACCTGACTGCTTTTTTTCCTTTTTTTATCAAGAGAACACTTTTCACCAAATAATTCTTTGTTATTTATGCATACGCGTCTCCAAACCATTATGAACCCATATCAAAACCCCCCTTACATTTATTTAGGGTTGTGTGTTTGTGCACACACACAGTAGGCTACTTGGCATTGAATGACTAGTTTCACAACTGTTACAATAATTGTTATAGAAAAATCATAGGTGCATTCCATAGTTAATTTTGAATTTCAGTTCATATCTGCATCTTTGAGCAAACAGTAGTCTTTTTGAAGATTCTGACATATTTAAGATGTATTTGTCAGAGTTTGAATTTAAATACTCATTTTATTTCTTGTAATACAACATGAGATTAGGTAGAATGAAAGATAATATGGGTATGTTGCAAAATAGTCTTTAGTTAGACTAAAAACAAAGGACAGCTATTTTGTATAATAATCAACCAGATAAAAAAAGCACTTGCTGGAAGACGGTTAAATATTTTCCTTTAATAGCTAATGAAGGAAATACGTTTAAGAAAGAAAAATTGGCCTCATTGGTTGTATCATTTAGATTAGAACCTTTCTAGACTGGCAGAGCTTGTAGGGTATTATATATCTGGAAAGTACGAAAGGTTTTCCAAGTGAAAAGATGAAGAAAGAAAACATATGAGAAATGCAGTCACCATGAATCACTTAGAAATAAAAGAAGCAGACCTACTTAGGGATTTGGTTGAAAAATTATCAATTTTCATAAACAAATTATTTTTGCATATATACCCTTTGTGTTTGAGATTCTCTTTCCTGCTTAGTTATTGGACATACCTTAAGGTTCTCTTTAGTTTGAATACAAGGTTGAAAAACAATGTTTGATTTTGCCAGCTGGCTCTAAGCCTCAAAAAAAGTTAAAATGCTCAAGTGCATTTGGCATTGGTGTGTAAATTTTGACATTTATACTCCAGGCCAGGCTAGGCTGAGGCCAAGTGGCCACCTAGGGTCCAGCATTTACTGAGGGTGAGCATCGCTCTAAATGTAGCACCCCACACACTTTGCCCAGCCTCAGTTCTGGTCCCTGCTTATACGTTTATTTTTTACATAAACCCTGCAATTTTGAAGAAACCAATTCTAATGGAATACAAAGGTGGGAGTAAATGCTTTCCTTTATCTCAAATGTGTACATTGGCCTTTTATTTCGGAAATCTGTTGATAACAAAATGTCTAATAAATTCACAGTAAAAATTTTTTTTCTTGGACAAGTTATAACATGGCCTTTTTTCTTTCTTTAGACTTGTATGGAGGTATTAGACGCCTTGTGTGATGGTAGCCTAGGAGACTGTAAAGAAGCTGCTGAAGTTTATAGAGCAAATTGTCATAAGCTTTTCCCTTATGCTTTGGCTTTCATGCCTCCTGGATATGAAGAGGATATGAAGATCACAGTTAATGGAGATAGTTCTGCAGAAACTGAAGAACTGGCCAATGAAATTTGAACATCATTAAACAAGCAAATGGAATGACTTTGGACCATATCTAGTGTATAATATTTTTGTCACGCACCTGCTGCATTGCTCTGACTTACACAGAATGAGAAGAGTAAATGTTCTTGCCTTCAAATAGTGTTTTACGTTTTTTATCCTGCTGAAAAAGTATATATAAAATATCTAACATATTACAGGATATAGGTTCAGTTTCTTAAAACATTAAAAGCTGCTAAAATTGAGGGGTTAAAAAAAGATACCTTATCCTCTTCCTACCTACCCACCCATGTTTTTAAACTAATTTATATAAAATCTGGAGGCTGTTACAGCTAACAAAGCAGGTGTGTGGCAGAAATATTACTTTAAATTTGTCTTGTGAGATTTTACTATATCTCAGACAGCATAAATGCTGTTTTAGCACTGGATTCTTTCACTGAGCACAAAGAGTTGTTGGGGCTTTAGCATCTGTCTGGTTTTGTTGCGGGGTTGATTCTGGCCACAGGACGTATGCAAATGTGAATCACTATTTACAGAGAAACCTACAACAGATGCTTCATGTTGTAGAAGCTGGGACATAACATATACCAAGCAGAATTCTAAGAAACCTAGAGGGTGTTCAATACGCTTGTTGTGTTTCCAAAATTCACTGTACATGATCAGTTTGGTGTTCTTGTACCACAGTTTTTAACTGAAGGAACCAGTTAGAACAATCTCAATTTTAACTAAAACTTGAAGAACTAAAATAACAATGCAAACCTTTCAGCATTGTTTTGGCCAAACTTGTTGAAACTGTAATGCAAGAACCAAATGCACTGTGATGTGGCACCAACTAATTAGCAAGCATGAATTTTTTCACCCAAGAGTGAAAAAAAGAAAATCTACCATGGCTTGAAGTTAAAGAGCAGAACTCCTGACTACCATTCTATGACTGATCAAGAGACTAATAGTTAAAACCTCAGCAGGCCTTGTTAATGATATGCAGAAAAAAAAGTGCTGCAGTTTAGATACCTCTGGAATTTTTCCACAGTGTCACAGGTTTGTAATACTTGAAGCCCTACATTTCTAAGAATATATTTCTTGCTCAGTTGTTTCAGGCAAGCCCAAGACTTTGTAATTTTTAAAGGGCCCAAAATTTTTTTTTTCAATAACAGACCAGCTTCTTTTTCCTGCAGTACAGATGTAATTTCCTTTTTGTTGTCAAACATAAGGTACCAAATATAATGCAATAAATTGTTTTGAAAAACAGTTGTGTGAATATTTCAACTAGTCTGTGTTGGGCTTCTGTGAAAATACACAGGTGGAAACAGAGGTGCAAGCCAGAGGCGATGTCTCGTGCTGGAAGGAAGGCTAGTGCAGATGGGAGCTTTGTAGACTGGTCTGAGTGCTGGTGTCAGGGACATGCCGTAACGCATATACAAGTGCTGCTCTGCGAGAAGATTTCATTGAGTGCTAGGATGGCAGCAGGTACTGTGACTGTCCTTTGTAATTCATGATTTGGAAGGAAAACTGAACACTGCTATTTTGATTGAGAAAATGAGCCTTAAAATGTTAAACCTCTACACTGAGAACTAGCCTCTGGCTCAAGGTTCTCATTGCATTTGCAAGATCTGAGCAAATAAGATTAAGTAAAAATCAACTGTATATATAACTGAACTTTTTGTGGTACTTTTAGTTTATAGAAAATATATTCCAAAGGGAATTTTTAGGAGACTTGATCCTTTTACTGATTTGACAGTTGTGCTAAACTCCACCCTTGGTAGTGTATTACCTGCATTCCACATCCCAGTCTAACGGTTTAGTGATGTAAAGAAAAGTACAAACTGAACTCCAGTGCTTTGTTATGTTTTGTTAACTGGCCCTGTCTCAGGAACATCTTAACAGATGGCAAAAAAACCCAACTTTTGTTTCGACTTCTCCTATGAATGGCAACTGACGTTCTTGTTGGGAAAGGACACTGGTGCTCCCTCTGCCACTCAGAGGCGTTGGAGGAGGCACCAGCCATGCGGTGGGGGGGTGGGAGGGGGATGTGAATTATGTTTAAACTCTACTGTATATTGAAATGAAATTCATATATTTGTCTTGACAATGTTCAAATGATGTAGATTGTCTTAGGATGACTATTCCTAAGTACTCAGAACAATGCAGAGGCCACCGAAAGGAGCTAAATTCCCAACATCCATGTTGTATTCCAACAAAATTTTACTGGAACTATTGAATAAATACTGTATTTTCTTTCAGGTTTACTTGATACTGATACGTTGTCTGGTATCAGAGGACCTTGACAGGGCCCACTGTATGTCCAGACATCACCCCTAAAACATTGTACTGTACTATTTTGCCCTGAGTAGTATCAACTGGGTCATCTCACATTTGCCTCATTCACTCGATTAATTCCAAATGATACTGTGGGGGAAAACAGGGTTAGAAACACATGTGGAAAAGAAAATGCAGTGATGTTGTAATCTAAACAAGTGCCTTATGTTTATTGCGAAGAACTGGTGTTACCAACCCTTTTGAGAAGAAAGGGTCCCTTGACCTGTATTGACATATAGGAAAGTAAAGTTCTTTTTGTTTTTCTTCATACTTACTACTCTTGTCATTTCTCATTTACAAAATTAAAATCTGACTAGGTTAGCTTACTCAACTTTATCAGTTATTTGAATCATGCATTTTCAACATTTTTCTGTATTTATTATGCACAAGAATAAACTGTGATCTATCATGGCATGACTAAAAGTAGCCCCGACGTTAGTTCATAGCTTTTCCGTGGGTTTTATCAGACCCTTGTTTTGCACAGTGTTTGTATTCCATGGTGTATTGCTATTAGAGCTGTGAAAGGAAAGCTGTGATTATAAGAGACCAGGAAGGTGTGGTCTAGATGCAGGTAGGATGTGATCAATTCAGGGAAGTCTTGCTTCTGCACAATTCCTAGGAATATTTTAGTTGCCATGTGTAGCATCTGTTTAGAAAAAGGTAGTAAGTGTTGGATTTTCTCTCAAGATACATAAATACTTGTCTTAGTAATTACCAGCCTTAAATTTTGAAATTACTCTTCAGAGAATTCAAAGGAATACTGACCTCTCATGGAAGATGGTCTTTCTGTTCTAGCTCATGCTCCATTTTAAGTTACAGGGTTCCTTCCTTCCTTCCTCCCTTTTTCTTTTTCTTTCTTTTTTTACATCAGTGATCTTGGTGGTTAGGGATGTCCTCACTATCACTCAGATAGCAAATATTCTTTCACATCATCTGCAACTGACAGGGTTTCTTCATAGCATTCAGCCATCATCTAAATTTTGCCAAATCCGCTGCCAAAACAAAGTCCTATGAAATGGCTGTGTTGCACCATCGGGAGCAGAAACCTTATGTTTTGTTCCAATTTTGATGGGAATGTCACAACTTGTAGCAGTAAAATATTTTTGGAAAAGGTTATTCTTTATTGAATTGCACTTTCACCTCTCAGTGTGTGACCTACATGATGGATGTTCAAATAAAAGTGATGGTAGTGTGCAGACGGTTCTGGAGAAAATTGCTCTTATTTTAGTAAAGCAGAAGAGGATTAACGTGCTCTAGGTTATACAGCCTATTAACACCGCTCCCTCCAGCAGGACATCATCTTAGAATGCCATAATAATGGACAGAGGGAAGGGAGCAGTATGTTACAGGAAAGAAGGGTCCAAAAGGTTCCCAGCCTCTCAGTTTCTCCAATTTCTTTTGAAGCGGTGCCATCTTGGGATTGTAGCCAAAAGAAAGAAAAAAATGGTACTATTTAAGTTAGAACTTTTATTGTCAACTATAGACAAGCTTGGACTCTTAATCTTTAGTGCTCTTTATAGAGTTATGTGTGCCAAAAACAATATAGATTTTGTTTCAAGCCTGCTTGTAGCAAGAGTAAAGTTTATACTTGGCCTTCTAACGAGACTGTAGTGTTTGTAGTTCTTAACATTTTTTATATGAGGCCTTTGTGTTTATTTAAGAGTCTGGATTATTTCATACAAGTGATACAATCTTCCTAACTGAAAATAAATTGATAGTGATGAATAGTAATGGAAACTTTTTTTATGTGATATAAAGATTTCTGCTGTTGCTAAATCTTCAACTTGGCCTCAATAAGTACAAATTATCTTCTCATTTAGAAACAACATACGAAGAGATTTTTGGAATGTGTTCTGGATTCCATGGTTTGCTTTCAGCCAATAATTGCATTTGCCTGGTTACGTGTGTGCATTGTCTAACAAGAAGCCTCTCCATACCATTCTGTGGCTGTCATTTCAATCAACCATGGTTTCCCAACATTGGCCTTTTAAAAACTTGCCACTTGGTTACTTTGATCTGTAAGTTTATTGGGTTCATTTTCTAGTGCTTGATGCCTCATTGCAAGTGGAATAGGAACTGGGATTTCTAAAGTGTTCTTTCAAAACTCTCTGGTGTTTCTTCATTAATAATGAATAAGCTACTACCTCCCATCTTTCTTTTGAACTACTTATTTGCCTTCAAGTAGTCATACTGCTAGTTGATAACATTTGAAAATGAAATGGCCATTTAAAGAAATAGATAACAATAAGCCTGCCTCCCAGACTCTTCCCTTTAAGTTCTGAACTATGAAATACTAACTTTTCCCTTTATTAACAGTAAAAAAAAATTTGCATTAATAACAGGAATAGAAATATTCAGAAACTCTTCCAGCTAGCATTGCACTGATTACATTATTTGCTCAGATGTTCATTGAAAAGACCTAAGAGTAAGCCAGCTGCTTCACTTGTAGTTTTTGGTTTTTTTTTACTTCTCGTTTTGTAGGTTTTTGTTTTATATAACTTAGTTTTATTTCAAGAGCCTACTTGTTATTTCAAGCATTCAACTTCACATAGCATTTTTCATTCACCTGCTAGGATGCTCTTTGAGAGAAATGTCTAATTACAATATGAAGTTAAATGATTAATGCTTTGGTTCAGACTCATAAATCCATTTCTAATGTGATGTATGAAATCTTCAGGATTTACATTGGGTTCATTTTAGTATGAAGGTACAGTGACTAGGACAATACATAGTATTAATAGATACTTAAATCCTTGTTAAATTTACTGTAAATATTACTGCTCTATAGATTGTAGCAAATAGCAATAAAGTACTATTAACTTCCAGGTCACCTGCAAAGGCTCACAAATTTTTTATCCCTTATCTGTTGATGTAGAGTATTCCCATTCATCTTCCCCTTGTCCCTCTCTGTTGGTCTTCAGGAATTCCCTCAAAACTACAGATCCATTATATTTTATTTATATGGAATAGATTTCTCATATCTAATTTTTTTTTTCCTATAGTTTGTCAGGAATGGGTGTGACTGGCCTTGTAGGAAGCCTATGACTGGTGGACCATGCTCTTAACTTCTCAGTTGCCTGTTTATTGTGGCTTTAGTTGGCAGTGAATTTATTCATGTCTTTTACAACCAGCTACCCAGGTAACATCATATCCAATGGAATTAAGTTACTACAAAGACTGTCACTCGGTAGTTGTTTTTCATCCTCCAAACAGTATGAGGAGACTGGTAACACACAGACACCAGCTACCTGGAGGGCTCTGTTTTCTATAGCCTAGTATCTCCACTTTCAGTCATTACAAGAAAGGAGACACTAGGTAGCGATCTGCAATGGTTATTTCTAGACTTGACCTACAGCCAGTGTTCATCACAACAGCTGTGGTCCAGTGGATCTCTACGTAAGACAGGCAAGTGAATCCTCTTAAGTCATACACTTTACCCTGGTTGTATATTAGAATCCCTGGGGAACTATTTTTTAAACACAAACTTCGATGCCCAGGCCTACCTGCAAAGATTCTGATTTAAGTGATCTGGAGTCGGGCCTGGGTATTGGTCCTTTTTTCTTTTAAAGAATACCCCAGTCATTCTAAGGTACATCCAAAGTTGAGAACCAGTGTCTTTGGTTATGAAGAAGTTTAAAATACAGTATTAGGGGTTTTTCCTCAAAGAGATCAAAGGGACTAACAACTTATGTAAGTGAAAAATGATGAATTTCCCCCCGTGTTTTATTAAGGAGAACTTGTATTGAACTTTCTGTCAAGAGCTTCTGGTTATTTTCAAAATCCATGCTTTTTCCTACTTAAATCATGCTGCTACTATACTACTGAGACACTGCTCTTCAAAGAGAAAAATCACGTCTTCATAGTTTCGTTAGATATGGTAACTTGTCTCCATTGAAGCAACTCTTATAATTGCCATAGATGGATGCTTTGAGTTTTTGAGTGAATGAGTATCAAAGCAAAGCCCAGTCAGCAGGCTTTTAAATAAGGACAGGTGGAGGGCCGGCCGAGGAGCTCGGTTAAGAACTCGTTCAAGAATGCAAGCTCTGAGCAGCAGGGTTGCCAGTTCGATTCCCAGCCTGAGCCAAGCTGCCACTGAGCTGCCAACAGGTAGCAGGATGGCTCAGCTAAAAAAATAAGGACAGGTGGTAGATATTACTCCCTGAAGATCCACACACACCCAATGAAATACATCTTTTTTCTCCCTAAAGGGCTGCGTTTTCTGTAAAAGAGTGAATTACTATTAACAAATCTCAGATGTGCAAGGAACCATGACGCTAGGAGAGATGATTGAAATCTAAGTGTTGGGCCTGTAAAAATGTAGAACCTGGGAAGGAGATTTACGTGCTACCCAATCAAACTAAAACCTGCTTTATGAGATCTGTTGCAATAACATTTTGGATAGATGTCCCAAATCTATCCAATCTAGTATTTTTTTTCTTTAGTAAAATAGGAATTGCTTTATAGACCATGCCTCAATTCTATCTAGTTTATTCTTGACTGGTTAAAGGATGTGATAAAAGCCCCTCGTGTTGATACCGTTCACCATTCTTGAATTCATAGACATGGATAATTTTTCTTCACCATTGCAAACTGGAAGGTCTAAATTGTTTTGGTCTCTTCACGTAGAAGAGCCTGATGCTTTAGTTACGTTCCTCTGATCCTTGTGACTAAATGCCAAATTTCTGGTATAAACACTGTGACTTGGTGTACAACAATAGTATGATGTAGTTAAAAACATAAGTCAGAATAGAACTAGCTTTAAGTCCTGGCTCAGGTCCCTTAGGCAAGATGCTATGAATGTCTAGTTTATAGAGTTGTTGGAAAGATTAAGTAACATACTATATATATAGTGATTACTACAAGGCCTGATACTTAGCAAGCATTCATTATAAATACTAGTTTTTGCAAAAGGATGTTCTTTCTTGTCAGTATTCTACTTAATTATCCTTTTTTTTCTACTGCCCTACATTGGGCCAGCATATTCAGGAAATACGTAGTTTATAATCCTTTTCTAGATACCAACAGCTCAATATTCAATTTTTTCAATTTTATATAACACATGCTAGTACTTACACTAGTTTGCCTTTTCACACACTAGAGAAAACCACCTGTTATACCTTCATCCTCCATCATCTTGACATTCATGGAAACTTACTATTGTTAGTGAATTTGGCAGATTTTTTTTTTTAAGATTTTTATTGGGGAATTGGGGGATGGGAACAGCGCTGGGGAATTGGGGGAAGGGGAACAGCCAAGTTGCTGTCGTTT